GATGGGTTTAGCAAGAGGAATCACGCTACTCCTCCCTCGCTCCCTGTCACGAAGCATGGCCTTGCGCATATCCAATGCATCTTCGTCATCCTTAAACGTCCCTTTGGGGCCATCGCCTCGGTAGTAACCAAGCACGCGTCGGTAGACAATGTATCCCAGTTTATGGTACATTTCTTGGGCGACCTTGTTGCTTTGCCGCACAAACAAGTCCACAAAGTACGCATTGTGAACAAGTGACGTTGTGGCCTCGAGCTCCTTCATGAGTGCCGCTCCCAAGCCAAGACGACGAAATATCGGCGCCACTGTCACTGCAGACACGTGCCCGTGGAAATCCTCGCCCTTCCCCTCAGCCTTGCCAAGTGCGTACGCCATACAAATGCCGGTCGTCGGGTGGACACATATACGCTGATACTCGGGCCAGTGTGTGAGATACTCACCGTAGAACGAGGTGCTGTAGGTCTCCGTCAACTGATCCAGATTTACAAAGTTGAATTCCATGATGTCCGTGAGTTTGAAATCCCGGTATGTCGTCATGGTTCTTTGGCTCCCTTCAATCAATAAAGTACAAAACAATCAACTGTGAAACATGTTTGAATTACACATACAAAAATAAAAATAATAATAATAATAATAAACAAAGAATAAGAATGACGCAAGCGCAGTTAGCTTCCATGGGAAAAATGACAGCTCATGCCATAAAAAATTAATAACAATGTTAACAATAACTATATATATATATATATTAAATTGGGTGCAATATGAGTCTTCTTTTTCTTGGGTTTGTAATTGCGCTATTCATTCCGTGTGAATTTCGTTCCTATTCCCATCTTCAAGCGTATTACGCGTCAAATTCCGTAAATTGAAGAGTTTTATTTTTCGGTACCCCGTCTTTCTTCCCTTGAAACCAGTCACGCGTCACCTTGCGCTGCTTCTGCACAATCATACTTCGGTACCGATCATCATGACGTACTTCCACCTGAAGTCTCCTGCGAACTCGAGAGCCATCACACCCTCTTACCCTCTCTTGTGTGTTGAGAGAAGACGCCTCTCTCGCGATCTTCCTGTCCTCCATAATAAGATTCTGCAGCTGTGCCCGAACTTCACTGGGTCTCTTGTCAAGACCAAAACTGTGTGCAATGTGGCCAAGGTGAAGCATATCCAAATTAAAAAATCGAGTTTTAAGCTCTCGGGAGTGCCCTGCGTAAGCTCGTATGTAAGACTGGTATGCGAACAGTGCAAGTCGAGTGAGATCATCGTTTCGGCTCGCATCTCCAGCGGGCAACTCATTTACAGGTTCCTCTCGATTCATGACAAGTCGACTGATGGCGCGCTCGAGAGTAGCCGTACTTTGCATCCAAATGTGGTTCGATTTTGGATCCAACTTTGCCAGGTAATAAAGAAACGACTCGTAATTCCTCTTTTCCATTGTTGCCACTACTGCTGCCGCCTCATTTCCCGTAAAAGAGCTCCCGCTCTCCTTCGCAATAAATTTACTTAAGTATGGGACGTATCCTGCCTCGTGTGGCATGAGGAACAGCAGAGAGTCCCCAACGTTGCCAATGCGAGCGGTGCGTCCAATACGATGAACGTAACACGCTGGATCTGTCGGAGGATCGTAATGCACAATCCAGTCCACTCGTGGCATATCCAATCCTCGGGCAGCCACATCTGTACAGAACAGGACACCCTTTAGAGAACGCCGAGCAGCTCCACCGACGTGTTTGAAGGCTTTAAAAACAGAGGCCCGGTCAACCTGCGACATGTTGCCATGCAACTTCAATATGTTGACATCAAGAAGAGCGTTTCTACCTGAGAGCGTCTGCCCCTCATCATTATCATCCTCACTGCCCGAATCATCCTCAAAGGTGACAATGGCCTCGCTCTGGTTTTGTACATGTCTGTTGGCCTCCTCTACCCGCCGCTTCACACCGTATTGGCGAGCATTTTGCTTGGATGCACCTTTAAATAAAACTTCTTTTCTCCTGTCGCAAAAAGGGGATTGTAGGCGTGATAGCAAACGGTAATGAAATTCTGCGCTATCAGCGGTGGAGACAAAAACAATAATTCTTTGAGCACCAGCATCAATTTGGGAGCGAAGAAAGCCAATGAGGGTTGAGAGTCGATGCTTAATCGGTACCAATGCGTAGTGCTGGCGAAGTGAGGAAGGGATGGAGAAGGTATCCTCTGTCTCACCTACACGAACAACGTTGCTGCGAAGCGCAAAATGTGAAAGCCTCTCAACCTCAGCAGTTATCGTTGCCGATACCAAAACGCGCTTGAGAGTATATTTTTCCCTTGTCTCTGTAAATATTTCATCACATGAACAAGCTGAGTTCTCTGTCTTCTCCAATAATAGCCCCATAATCTCCTTTATAGCCCGCTCAAACCCCATATCCAGTAATCGATCAGCCTCATCAAGGACAATTGTCTGCGTTGAGGCAACGCAGAAAGACACGGTCGCCCTGAGATGATCAAGAAGTCTCCCGGGTGTCGCTATCAAGAGGGGAACCCCCTTACGCAGTCTTGCCTTTTCCTTGTGCCGATTTTCACCACCGTGAATACCACCCACCGTCAAAAACAGCGCACATCGAGCGAGAACACTAAGCACATCTGTCACCTGCACAACCAGCTCTCGAGTGGGGCAAAGCACAATAATAATACTTCCAATCTGACGCTGAATTGGTCGCGCATCACACTCACACAGCAACTGATGGAGCAGAGGAAGAGCATACGCCAGCGTCTTCCCACTCCCCGTTTCGCTCCGTAGAAGAACATCACGCGTCCTGTCAACCATGGGTGTCCAGCTCTGCTTTTGAATGCACGTTAGGGATGTTATGTGAAGACACTCAGTTAGCGGCCGCAGCAACTTGCTATGCACAAGTTCATTTAAAGGAGGCAGCGATTCGGCATCCACGCACGCCTTATCCGCTTCAAACACCGTGGAAAGTGAAGAAGAAGGTGGTATGTTTTTGTTTTTCAAGGGGGCATCCGCAAAAGCCGGAAATTGGCCGCGGAAAGCCCGTGACTCCGCGGTTGCTTTCGAACGGAACTCGTCTTCTTCCGCATCCAAAGTCGACGTCCTTTTCCGTTTTAAACGTTTCGGTTCGCTCTTGTCCTCCATGACTGGGGCTGCGCGGGCCGCGGGCGACGGTTGGGAAGGCGCATCAACGCACAAATCGCACCCATCACCCCAATCATTGAGGTCTACAGATGGTCCCCGTTCTGCTCCGGCCAGCAGCCTGTCAAGGGTGTCATTTTCACTGCATTTTGACAAACCAAGAACGGCAAGGTGTTGTTGTGCATCCATCTCGGCAAGCGACATGTTATCCTACTTTCCCACTCTTTCTCTTTACTTCACACCTTTATTCCGGCAATTAACATCAGAAGATATCATTTACAAAAAAAAAAAAAAAAGTGCGCAGAGTTCTCGTGTAAAAAGGCATCACATTATATACTCAGGAGAGTTATTAACGTCCTCTTCCCTCTTTTCTTTCCCTGTTGTTGTTAATGGTGGTGGTGGCGGTAGGGCTTTTAAAGACAAAAATAAAAAGTAAAATTATAAAATAAACGCAACGCAACCAAAAATTGCAGTAAAAAAACTGCCAAAACAAAAACGGCCCTGCAGATCCTCTCATATATATATGTGCAAACACATAAAGAGACATAAAACCATGCGCTCAGTCACTCCCGGTGACGTTTGCTTAATATTTTTTGATAATTCAATTCCGAAAGAAGACCTTCTCGAAGTAATTGCCGCTGCTCCTCACGCTGGCGTACATTGTACATCCTGAGACCAAGTATAATCACTCCCATGATAAAAAAGGGGAGCCATCCTTGTTCTAGAAAATAAACCAGCCAACTTTCCTCCACTACTTCTGACGACATATTTCCTCCTCCTCCTCCTCCTCCCTTTCTTTTTCTTGTGGTGGTGTTTTGTGTTATCATTGGAAATGTAAAAAGTGAAAAAAGATAACAAAAAAAAAAAAAGGGAAAAACAGTGGTGCGCGGGGGGAGGGGTAAATTATTATTATTATTATCGTGAAGTTAAGACCCACAAATCCATCGCACACTTCGCTGGAGTGTCTGGGACAAAAAAAAATCTAAAGGCAAAGAGTGCGGCACGTCATTGCAGAAGCACAAACACCTCCTCTTTCTTTCCCCATATGGTCCTAGAAGTAAATTGGCCGCTCCATGACACAATCTCTATTTGGACTTTATTTGTGTCTGGCGGCGCACTAACCGGATGACAATCGCACCATCCCGTGCATTTTGTTCCATGACATGTCCCTTTTCATTGGGTCTCCCTCTGGCACTGCCCAGCCAAGGGTTTCGGTCCTTGTTTCCCCTCATTTCCTTTTTTATTGCCCCCTGTTGGACTTCAAATGCCCCGTTCATCTCCGCGCAATGCCTTGTCATATTTGGCACATGAAATTGCACCTCAACAAATTGCAAGGATTCCTTCATCCTCCAGTGGTCGCTTTGAATTCCGTAAGTGCAGCCACCAAGCAGACGAATAAACACATCCCGTGATGCCGTTTGACATTCCCGCAAATCACTCTTGGGATTTTTGAGAAGAACTCCAGTATGCTCCGCAAGCTCCGTCGTCTCCATCGTGCTCCCCAACCCAGGACGATGCGGTGTGTTCAAAGTGTTCGATTGCCCCCCGCCGCAGACGGTGTACAACGGCGGCGTCAACTCCCACGCATTTGTGATGAAGGCATGCAACCCGCCGGCGTGCAGGATGTTCTCCCCCTCGTCTGCGGCCGACTCCAAATCAGGACCCGCGAAGGTCTCGTGAATCCAGTCCACCGTCATCGTCCCACCGTCCACTGTGAGCGTACCTGCGACAATAAACGGATCACACGGTGAGTGCACCTCAACGCCCCAATCTCCACTCATCCGCGACACAACGGAAAAGGGCAGCTGGACCCTCCCACGATTCCCATGAACACACAGGGACACGCACAGTAAAAAAAACAGTGAGGCAACCCAGTGCAATGTCATGCTCATTCCTTCACGGAAGAAGAATATATATATATATATATATAAACTCCCTTCTTAAAGCTTCTGACCAACACTAGTGGGAGAAAACAACAAACAAACACCACAAACGAGCAAAACAGAACGTGTAGTTAAATAATAAGTCACGCAAAAAAAAAAAAAAAAAAAAACTCTCAAATGGAGAGGAAGTGAAACAAAAAATCGGGCATAAAATAACGCCCACGGAAGTTTCTCAACAAAGTACGACCGCCAACCCCGGAGCCGCATATGTTTCCCTTTTGTCACTGCTACTGTTCACCACGGCAACAAGAAAAAAAGAAGAATATGCATGCAAAAGGAACGTCAACTCCCCCGTAAGCGCCTGCAAGAGCCAATTGTCGACAGGACTCAAAGATCATCATCATAATTAGGCTTCAAGTACACGTTCCACACGGCACTCAATAGGTCCACCTGGTACTCCAGCTTCACCGCCAAGTAAACCACAAGCAGTCCAATCAGTAACAAGAAACAGTCAAAAAAACGGAAGAAGAAAACTCCCGTTGGTGCCGGTGCCTCACATCGTTGACCATGCATCTCACCACACACACATACACCTCCCCTCAGTAGCGCTAACAATAAGGTAGAGAAAAATAAGGAAATAAATAAGGCAGCAAAAAAGAAGAGAAAGAGAGAGGCACAGCATGTCTTTACGTTCCCTTTACCCGGTCACATAAGGCAAAAATATGTGTTTCTTTGCAGCCTCATTTAAAACACAGAGAATATATATATATATATATATATATATTGAACTGGCTTTGCAACCAGTGTGGCACATTCCATAGCGATAGCAACACGGCACACTAGTCATCTCGTTTGCTTTGATGCGCTCTTCTTTCAACCATCCCAAGAGAAACACCAAACAAGGCATCTGCCTTTTCCTCAACCTTTTTAGAAACACGCACCTCCTCTTCAATCGCACGACCCAGGGGCTCTTTTACCAGTGGTGCATCTGTAAAGCCAGGTTTCAGCGCTAAAAAGTAATTCCGATCCTTTTTCCTGCGTGGGTTCCACTTCTTGGGACGACGCATGGACTTTTGAAAAAGCCCAGGAAATGGGGACTTTGGTTCTGGCGTGATCGGGTGCCATGTGGCGTGTCGGTACCCCATACAATAGAGATGGTCATTGTCCACCTCACATGCGGCTACCTGAAAACACCACCTCATATGTTGTCTGACCGCAGAGATGACAGGTTTGTCCTGTGGCCTCACACAAAAAGGAAATCGTAACAGCAACGCACCTGAAGGCCGAAGAAGGTGTGTGCCCAATGCCATTACATTCACAAGGGAATCCCGAGTGTGCATATCTGTAAAAAAACGCTCGGGTGATGTTCCCATTGATGATGTTTCCCCCACAAAATCCACAGCAAGAAGATCGGCCGCCTGTCGAGGCAAAAATGCCAATCTTAAATCGCGTAGCAAAGTGTGACTTCTCAAGTATTCACCAGACAACTCATTTACCGATGATCCCATACACGTCGACAGCTCGGTTGAGTTCCCAGTCCAGATTTTTTGTTTATCGTGCCTAATGTATGACGCCGCCTCCGTCGTGGTAAAAGGAAATGTTACCACTTCTCCATGGTCATCTTCCCTTTCTAGCAGAGGCATTCTCGGGTTTGCATCGTCGAATACGTAGAATGCGTTCATAGGGGTAGAGCTGCCTTGCGGGTCACTGACCGTCATTTCAAGAAACTGCCTCTTGGAAGCGAACCCGTCTTTCATCTTCGCCCAATCCCTCGCGGATTGTGTTTGCGGTGGCGTAGGCCGTCCTCCATGTTTGCGTCTTTGCTGATGTCGGGTAACCCATCTTCGCACATCGTCCTGCCAATTCCCAGCGAGGAAGAAGACGTGCGCATCGCTTGCGAGCCAGCCATGCTTTTCCTGCAGGAGGTGCAGGATCTTCCCTACGCCGTACCTGCCCCCTAACGTCCCTTTCATCCGCGCTGTGCGCCAAAACAACAACAACAAAAAAAAGCACTAAAATGAAGGGCGTCAAGCAGGCAAAACAAAACAAAACCAAAAAAAAGAATAAAATGGCACGTCGCGGATGCCAACGGGCGGACAGGCACGTCCCTCCAAATAGAAATAATAATAATAATGATAGAAGAAAATGAGCAGAAAAACTTCTATTTTCATTCTTTAAGAAGCCCTCACTTCTGTCGTACCCACCCATCATTCCCTTCCTCAGATCAACCGACACGCTCCCACCCCGCCAACACTCTCCGTTCCCTCACGAAACGAACGCCGATCGCCCACCGCACCAAACGTTAGCCGTGATGCGTCCAACTCCCACCCCGTGGGCACGGAGATTTACTCAAGAACCAGAACGTGAAATACCCAGTGAACATGCATACGTATTTGGAAGAAATCAAGCCCTTTTCCTCCACTCACATACACACAAAACAAACAAACATACGTAAAAAAAAAAAAAAATAGATTTTTAGCTTCACAGTCTTCGAATCGTCAATCCTAAGCACACCCATCAGCCCCACCGCTGGAACAAATGTACTCAGAGGCCTCTTTGAGCATTAATGAAAGAAGACAATATGTATGGTTTCACTCCGGTGGCGTTGCTACCCCGTCCACCCAGCCCTAAACGCGTAGAAAAGACTAAATGCCCCTTCACCTCCCTCCCTCTCCCCCAGATAATAGACGCACATATACAAAATAGCACCCAAACCAGAACACACACAAAGACAAAAATATATATATGATCTCTGCCGGCTAAAAAAAAAAAAAAAAAAAAAAATTTGTTGTTGTTTTTCTCCAATTCATTCAACTTTGTAAACGTGTGTCTTCAACAAGTCAAATAATTGTGAATGTGAATAAGTGGGAAAGACCACAAGCGTGGCAAAAACGCAGCTACATTTCCTTCCAAAAAAAAAAAAATACCAACTGTTGCTGTCATGCAGTTGCATGGCTTCACACTGCGTCCCCTATCCAGGCCGTCCCAAAACATTTCTGTGTTCTTGTTCATATTTGGTTCTTAGTAACTTTCAACAGCGGGACCTCCCCAATACGTGTGGCGTCTAAGCATTACAAATAATTTCAGTTCATTACCAGGAATTAACTTCACCCCCCCACCCCTCTTCCCAGTGCATTAATGAGACTCTTTAAAAAATGCATTTCCCCTGACCCCAAACCCCCTCCCCTCCAGTTAATGCCTCTTGTCTCTTTCGGGGTGGAAAAGATGACGGGTCGCACACGTGCCACAACGTCCACGCCCCCCTTATCTCCCCCTCCCCATACACACATATAAACAAAGCGCACTGCGCTAAAATCCAAAACAAGAAGATAAGTCCAAAACCTTTTTTTTCTTTCTTAAGCCAATTCCCATAAAAAAAGAAAAAAAAACCTCGTCCTTCGGTTTTCATTAAAAAAAAAAAAAACTCATTTTTTCCTCATCGCCCCCTCCACCTTTAAATCACTTTTCTCCTCCACACATTTTTTTTCTTTTTTCTTTTTTTCTTTTTGTGGCGACCTTCGCTAGCGCTCCACATTCAGATGCGGGGCGTCCCCACCACTTTGAGGCCATTTTGGGGTACAATGGGAAACATAAAAACGTGTGGGCGCCCAACCTCTTCCTGAAATAAGCGCTTCTCCACATCCGTTGCGCCAGCGTCAGCACCGTAGAAACGCAAATCCCAGTTCAGAAATAGGTACGCTAGTGCCACCTCTGTCTCCATCAAAGAAAGATGTTGTCCAAGGCAGTTGCGCGGACCGTTAATAAAGGGAATAAATGCATACGGGTCAACGGTGTCCTTGTATGCCTCATGATTCGGGGTGGTAAAGTTATTTTCAAGCTTCACGTCAAGGAAACGTTCTGGTTTAAATGCATCAGGATCTGGCCAGATATCCGGGCGCCGGTGCACCGCCTGGATCCCTACAGCCACCGAGCAGCCTGCGGGAATAGTGACGTCCCCATCAAGCCCAGTTATGGAGGCAGGCCATACGTCGTTTTTCAAAGCACGCCGCATGACCAAGGGAACAACCGAGTGCTTTCGTAGTGTTTCACGAAGACAAGCCGGAGACCATCGTAGTGTGTTGCGTACATCCGATGCGGTGGGAATGCCCCACGTCTTTCCTTCTGGTGTCACAACCTTCTCTTCGCAGCGTGCCGGATCAAACAACACTCTTGCCTCTTCCACAATTTTTTCACACGCATCAGGGTGACTGATCACCTCATAGGTTGCCCATGTTAGCAACGCCGCTGAAGTTTCGTGTCCCGCCAATAAAATGGTTTTGACATCGTCGCGCAGCTGCACCACCATTGCGTTATCCATTTTATCAATTTGAGATAAACAGAGTGAGATAATGTCACGTTTATGCGGCTTGTGGCGATCTTCCCAACGTTTCAAAATAAGCTCGCAAATTACATGATTCAACTCCTTCAAACAGCGGCGACGCTCTTGAAATCCTTCCAAGAAGGGCATCACGACACGCCACGGCTGCCATACACGTCGATTGCATTCGTGAACAACAGGTAAGTAAAGAGCCGGAAAAATACGATCTGTTTCCTCTGGTTCCAAAGAAAGCGTCGTTTCTCCAATCACTTGCAGTGTCATGTGACGGAACGCCTCATTCAAATCCACAAATGGATTTTTGTCGTCAATAGCGGCAATTTGATCCATGACTCTTCCAACTGCCTTGATTGTCATTTTGGGAACTTCCTCCAATACATCTATGCGCATAGCATGGGAAAGTAATAGGCGACCCTTTTTCCAATGCTCTCCCTCCGCTGTCACAAGCCCAGTTCCAAGTAGACAGAGGAAATGTTTGTATGACGTTTCAACATCCTTGGCGTAGTTTCGCTGGTTTGTCAGAAGGACCCGCTTCAATAATAAAGGATCATTGATGTACACAACGCGCTGATAAAGAACATTAAATCTGACAAGTCGATTTGTACGCGGAGCATCCTTCTTTTTATTACTATCCGCATGGGAAAACGAATCAAGACTCCAGTCTGCCATTTTTCTCCACGGTGATCCCCCCATAAGAATAAGGGCGTGGCCGACCACTGGGATTCTCCCCGGTGCCTCCGGAATATTTCGGAGGTGCCTGTCCATGACAAAACCCCGCAGAAACAAGAAAAAATAGTACAGAATGATGGCCCAAATCACAATAAGAATCCCCATTAAAAATAACAATCCATAAGAAGAATTTGCCAACAACTCTGCACCGCGCATGACGCCACTTTCCCACACCGGCCGCACAGCGTTCATAATTGATGCCAACAACAGGTATGACTTTTGGCTGCCAACTCCAAAACAAAATCAAATATATATAAATATATAAATATATATAGAGAGAGAAAGAGAGATCGCAGATGCAAAGACCCTCTTGTAATTTCTTTGGCTTCTGCTGTCTCCCCCCCCCTCCCTCCCTTCCCACTAATTGCTGCACCTCCCTCAGCGGGTATTTCTTTTTGGTTGGTAAAATTGTCAATATATATATAGATATATATTCACAATGGAAACACCCTTTTTTATATTCTCAATACTGAATGTGGATGGGTGTGTGTGTATTTTAATTTTAATGTTGTTAATTTTATGTTCTCTTTGAAGTCGCAAACGTGAACGCAACGCAGTTTTTTTTTTTTTTTTTTTTTTTCGTTTTATTTATAGAGAAGGGAAAGGAAGGGAAAGAAAAAAAAAAAAAAAAGAGAGAGAGAGAGAGAGAGAAAGGGAGTGCAAGTCACACACACGCAAAAAAAAAAAAAAAAGAGAAGGGATCAGTCCTTTATTCAGAAAAAAAAAAAAAAAACTACATATGAACAAATGCATATAAAAATACCAACACACATATATATATTATTATTATTATTATTTTCTTTTTTTTTTTTAAGAAAAAAGGGATTTCATGAGAATTTCTAAAACATCTCAAAACGCCCATTCTCTTTCTTATCCTCAAATGAACCACCGTCTACCATAGTGTTTGATTGTCTGTTAGCATCGTATACAGTCATCTACAATCGTGCAAGGGGCAACGCGCTACCAAATGTACGTCCAACAAAAATCCCTTCAAAGCGGTGCGCCCTTCAGGAATTGGAGTCATTCCGTTTCTTCATGTGTTTTGCCAAGAGTGCCTTGATGGATGGTGATACAGCATGGTGACAACTGTCTAATGCTGGAGGCAATGAAGGTAGGGGATCTTGTTTCTTCAAAGAGGCCTTTCTCGTTGTATGCAATGGACCACCATTTTCCATTAGGGAAAACGAAGACCTCTTGTAACGAGTAGAATTAAGAAAATCTACTACATCCTCGTTCACCTTCGGTGAAGCATGGGTCGCCCCCGGAACTAAAAGGGATTTCCCAAATATTGGACTATGAAAAACCTTGTTTGCCGCGGAGTCACCAAGCGTGCAGAGGCTAACTTGTTTTTTCTGTTGTGGAAGAACTTTCAGTGTTTCAAGTTCATTTTCAAACTCCTTCGTAAGAGCATCTAAATCGACATCGCCGTTATTATTCCCCCCATCACCGCCATTCAAAACATCTGTCACAACACCCTTAAGTTTTTCACAAGACAAAGAGGGAAGTTTTGGCGAAAGAACTTTTCGTTTCTTATGGCCCTCAGACCCAACTGCAGGGGTCAATTTCGATACCGGTAAATGGTGGTCTCCCTTCTCGCCAAGCAACACGGGTGATAGACCTGTGGCTGTGGGGGAACACAACGCCTGCAGCGGTGACAGGGGTGGGGGATTCCCCACTCCCGCCTGTTTTGAAATGGCCGTTGTGGCCCCTACATTTGATCGCTTTGCATTGAGATCAATAGGTACAAGCGTGTTCCGTGACGGAGCGGTTTGTGGACCAGAGACATACTTCTTCACCGCGTTCGCCAACTGTTTCGACACGTTGGAAGGTGAAAAATTCTCCTCATCGAGACCAATACTAAAATATGGATGTTGAAGACACTGTTGGGCTGTGGGACGTTTCTTGGGGTCGTAACTAAGCATCTGCTTCATTAAATCCAAGGCTTGTGGTGGTAAATGTGGGGGAAGCACACGCTCAAGTCCCACCCCCTTCACTGCTGGAAATGAATACCGTATTTTCTTGGCAAGAGCAAAACATTCTGGCCAGATTTTTTCATTGGGTGAGCCAAGAACACCCATTATCTTGTGTAACTGATCCACCTCATTGCTACCTGCAAAAAGAGGACGGGTGGTTATAAGTTCTGCTAATATACAACCAGCGGCCCATATATCCACAGGGCTGCTGTACGCTCGATCTTGCAGCAACAACTCAGGAGCGCGGTACCATCGGGTGGAAACATAATCCGTAAACGGTGGGCGTGCCCGAATCTCCTTCACGAGGCCAAAATCCGCCAGTTTTACCACATCCTGTGCCGCGGTGGTTGGGTCCTTCTTCACAAGCAAATTTTCAGGTTTAATGTCTCGGTGAAAGTACCCACGTTGATGCAAGAATGCAAGGGATTGAAGAAGCTGAAAAATGTAACTTCGAATCTTCGGGTATGGTATGGGAGGGGCATTGCCGGCTGTGGTGTGGCCCTGCATTTGCTTTGCCTTGCAGATGACCCCCAGAAGGTCCCCGTCCATATACTCAAATACAAAGAAAAGCTCATTTTTTTCTCGTATCACTTCACGCATCTTCACTATATTCGGATGGCCATGAATGCGGCGCATCACTGTCACCTCTGGCAGCTTTACACACTCCTCCCAGGAATGGTACTTCTGCTTCATTTTTTTAATCGCCACAATTTGTCCCGTTTTTCTATGCAATGCCTTCACAACCTGACCAAACGCTCCATCACCTAGTTGATTGAGGACCTCGTAGTTCTCCATTTCCGCGCAGACGGAGGCACGTAAAAAAGAAAACTGTATATATGTATATATATATATATATAGAGAGAGAGAGAGAGATAGAGATAAATAGATATACGCTCTTTTCCCTTAACACAAAATGAAAATAACTTTAATATGTACACACAGTAAAAATAAACATATACATATATATATAACTGCCTGCCTGCCTGCCTGCCTGCCTGTATGTATATGTATGTATGTATGTATGTATGTATGTATGTATGTTTTCCTTGGAAAGGTATTGCTGGGCGGCTGCTCTCTCTATCCGTCTCCCCTTCCGCTCTAGTCTAGTAAAATAGCCTACACTTACAAGGCTGTTGGTAGCACACCGTCCATTGAAAAATAAATAAATAAATAAATAAATAAGAAGAAGAACGTGTAAGACAAACACATGGAAACTTCCCCTCAGGCAATCGCCGCCCAACACCACAACATCATGCAACAAAAAAAAAAAAAGACGCAATACATTTTCTGCCTACTTGTAAATTTGACGTCTGCAGCACTCATCATCATCACCGCCACCACCAACACAGCCACCCGCCGCCACCCTCCAATACAGACGAGAGACGAGCGGAATGGAAGAGAAAAAAAAAAAAAAAGTAGTAGATGGGGGGCAGAAAGAAAAAAAGAGAGATTCTCACAGACGCAAAATACATAAATATTAATAATTCACAGAAGTCAACAAAAATAAAAAATTCTTCCTTCCTCCTGTTGACTCCAAATCAAATTCCCTACGCAAGTCCCTAATATATTTACGAGCTTTTTGCCTCTGCATACATTTAACAAAACAAACAAAAAAAAAAAAGGAGAATGAGGCGCTTCTACGGGTGCAGTGAATGCGGATCCGGTGGCCATGCGCCCGTCAGTCCTCCATGTGCCCCCGCAATCAGCAACAGTCCAAAAATAAAGTTTGGTATCATGTTACTGATGGACCAGAGACCCAAAACAAAAAACTGCGTTGTGAAGCTCTTAGGCACATACACGGGCTTCAGGCCGTCAAACTTGAGAGGCACCACACGTCCCTTTCCGAGAGGGGCCGTGACACCGGAATACAAAAAGAATGCACTACGACGGAGCATGTCAGTTTTCTGCAAGTTCCCTTCCGAGCACAGTTATCAAAGAAAAAAGCAAATACTAATAAATAAAAATAAAAGAAAAAGAAGAAAATTGAAAAGGAAGAGATATATACATGTAGGTACATATATATATATATATATATGTATGGTTCAATGAGCATCAAGAAGAAAATTCATGGAAATTAACACAAAATCATCTCTGATTCCATTGCTGCATATACGCACACACCCGTTAGCACTGGTCAATGAAGATGGGAAAAAGGGTTAGGATGAGAAAAAATATATATAAATAAATAAATAGAAAAATAGAAGAAGAAAAAAAAAAAAAAAAGGTCAACGACATGCGAATCCGAGACAAAGATAATAAAGAACAACACATAATAACACACAAAAAAAAAAAAAAAAGAGGTCAAAGCAACAAAAATTTCACAATATGATCCTATTTCCTACCCCCTCTACGCGTGGCAGAACAACTTCACGCTCGGTTGAGAGTGACTGCAGAAAAACATACAGATGGGGAAGTAGTGTAATGGAAGACACAGCCGTAACGATGATACCCAAGCCGTACGATACTTCCAGAGACCAGTGTCTGTTCAAAAGCCATGAGAGGGTTATTTGGCCCACATAATTCAGCGGAATCTCAACAGTGCAGAGAGAAATAATAAGAAGTAACAACTGCTGCCAAGACTCATCAAAATCAATCAGAACATACTCCAAAGCCCATAAATTCAAGCATAGAGCAACAACACTGTATATCCCTAGCACCCAGTGGTAGAAGTTTGCCGCAGACCACACAACCCCTTCATCCAGACCAGTAACAAGATACATGCAGAACTTTAGATAATAACCACCGATCCAAAGCAGAAAAATTAAAAAAAGCGGTCCAACCGCACGCTTAACCATAAGACGGCACGCCGGGACACAAACCGGACTGTGTAGAAATTCATCTGGGGAAATGGGAACCCTCTCCACCACCAAATTATATGGCGTCTTACACTCGGCACACACACTTCGATGCTCCGTGTTCAAGGTCATGGCACGCCACTTTTCCAAACACTTTTTATGCACGTATTTAGCAGACCCATCGCAGGCACATGGGGCAAATAAATCATCCACTGGTTTCTTGGAACGACATATACGGCATAAGTATTCATCGCCGTCACTCTCTTCACTACTACCATTCATTTCCACGCAGTCACTTTGAGGTTCCATGTGTTGGGAATCTTCTTCTACATTTGAGGCCACTTCTCGCATCTCGGCTGATATCACGACATTTGACGCCGCCCCTTCCCACCTGCGTCGTGGCCAAGAATGAAAATAACGGTGCATTGCGCGTTTTGCCACAAATAGCCATGAGAAAATTTTCACGCACGTCTCTTGAGTAGCCAGCATAATCCGGTAAAGTGAAAGGCAATGTCCATTGTTAGATTCAGTTTCCTCATAGAGAACAGTGGTACGACGCCCATTCAATGCAGTTGGCTCTGAAAGCCGCATTCCAACCTCCTTCGTGACAAGAATGAAACACATCGTCACCAAGACACACAAAACAGCAAGAAATAGTTGCCCAAACCCACTTGAAGTCAGCCACAATTCCCAATTAAACGATCCTTTCTTATCCACTAAAAGCAACACAATGTCTATACCTGTAAGAGAATCATGTGGCATCGTGCTCTTAAGCCGTAAAACCCACGGCCTGTTCCAAGCCCCTGGAAGCCCTACGCTGAATATCACTCGTCCCGTATACCTCCCTAATGGTATCTCTTTAAAGCTCGTAGTGTATGTCATAAGCCGTGCCTGGAAACATTCGTCTGTGAAATCATTGCAACTCTCTATAAGTTCGTAACGTCGCATAATGCCAGAGAATGTCGAATCCTTATCCGAAGAGTCGTCAATGGCAAAGGGAAATGTTGCGCTGCTGTCGTTAATTAAATCTCGAAAAACACGTTCAGCAACTTCAACATCAATGCTCGGCGCGGAGTCCTGCCAAAGTGAGACAGCAAAATTCTCCTCCCACCCACCACGAAAGCGCAGTAAGATATACCCCTCAAAATGACTCAGCGAACAAGGCGCATTGCTATCCTCTTTGTCAGCCGAATTCTTAGTCGCTGAACAGTACGGAAAAAAATAAAGATCCCTATTCACTCTTTCATCATCTTTACTTGACTTCTCCTGACCCACCACGGGTAATGTCGCTTCAAGCGCAAATACCCTTGCAGGCCGCTTCCCACCACCCATCGCACTACGCCTGCCAAAGTCAATGTCGCTCCACGTAGCCACAGACATGATAGTCCCATGTTCCCCGTTGAAAAGAGCCACAGTGGGCTGCTGTGCGGCCTCTCTTCCAGCAGTAAATGTCCACAAGAGCACAATAAGGCCCAACCAAAAAAGATACCGGGTTTTCGCATGCATCACTTTTTTCAACCGACTGCAGCACAGAGAAGAAAATAAATCTAAAGGCAAAGTACATACATGCAAAAAAAAAAAAAAGAGAGAGAGAGAGAGAGAGAAAGAAAGAAAGAAAGAAAAAGGGAAATAAAATAAAAAAGAGCATGCGCAAAAATAATAATAATAACCAATAAAAAGGAATATATATCCTTTCATTCACACACGCAGCCTCGTTGAAGGCCAGTGCAGAATTCCAAATTCAGTACGGTCGACGATATCTGCAAATACAAATTCGGCCTTAATTATAAGTCGTTGCCTCTAACAAAATCTCCTCCACAATGCCCCGCAGTGTCGTTTGATTCTCGTCTCCCAACAGACCTGCACAAAACGCACACAATTCCGAATGCACATCTTCTTCAACCCAACAGCTTACAGAAACCTCCGCCAAACGCTCTATGGCAGCTTCTGTATGCTTGCGAAGGGCGCATCGCATTTCTTCCTCACTCTCTTTCGAGGCAAAAGCCACGCGCGACGGCACGGTGTCCTCCAGCCGCCGCTGAATGTACTCCGTCTTCGCCTCCAGCATCGCCAACCTCAATCGATAAGTCAAGAATGTGGCAATGAGAACATCATTGTCGTAGGACGGCAATAAACAATTTTGTTCCCAGCAAAGTCGGTCCGCTTTCCTTGCCGCCATGAAACACGACAACATGTCATCACAGACGTCGCATGAGAAGAGAGCTGTCCTCTCATTTCCATTCCCACTGTCTTTACGCTCTGGGGGACTTTTCGGTATCATCGTTTCGCATGGAGAGGAATAAGTGACTAAAAATAAAGCAAAGAGGAAAAAAAAAAAAAAGAAAAAGAGAGAGAGAAGAGAAGAGAAGAGAAGAGAAGAAAATTTTAAAAAAATTGATTAGAAATGCAGCGGGCAGTTAACATGCCTCCAATATTTCGTACCCATCACACACAAAGAGAGGCAGAGAAGGAGAGTTCTTCTACGGTCGAAGCGCTTCGCACAGGCAGTCGGGACGAAAACAACAACCACACATGATCCCACTTCATGGCAATCAAAAAAAGCCAAAAAGGGACACCACACAGGTCTGAAAAAAGTAAAGAAAAAAAAAAAGTCAAAAGAAATTTAAAAAAAAAAAAAAAAGAACTTCAGCGGCACCGGCAGCAGCGCAACATTTATCATCGTCATCGACGTCGTCATCGACGTCCCATCACATAATGCATCCTTGTCGCTGTGTGTTAGCCCCTCCGTGCAACGGTAAAGAAGAAGGCGTTGGCGTCAAATGCATGCGATACAAGTCAACACAAAAAGTAGCCCTTTTTGCCCGCCATCCACATGCCTCCTCACTTAAGAAAAAAAGCTTGCGCCACTCCCAAAGAAGAATCACGAGGGAAACTTTCCCAAAGTTCCCCTCCTCCTCCTCCTCCTCCATTCCCCTCCTTCTCCTTCCCCAAGATCCTTTGAAGCCCTTCCGCCCCCTAACAGCGACGCACACCGACAAGCAAAGGACCGCCGCTTCCTTTCCTCACATAAATCCCCAATCAAAAAAGAAATGCCCCATCGCAGCTAAACCCCTCTTTGGTCATTTTATTCAACACTACCGCTCCCCTATTTTCTATAACTGAAAAATCAGATACGCACACATATATACACGCATACACACGCACAGGCACGCACGCACAGGCAGACTGAAAAGCATTGAAAAGGGACAAAAACTCAAAGGGACCGGCAGAGACAGACAAATAAAACACACACATGTACATACACACAGGGGTATATACATATATGCACACAAATATATATATGTATATATATATAGAAGAAACTCCAGTTCAATCCCTCAGATCGGCGTTCTTGAAACAGCATGGAAAAAAAAAAAATTCCGTTTGTTTGTTTGTGTCCTCTCTCTCTCTCTCTTTCTCCCTCCCTATTTCTATCTCTCCATCCCCCCACATTGGTTCCTGGAAGTAACTCTTTTTTTTTTTTCATTGCTCTCATTCCCCTGCTGCTCTTTGGAAAAACTCCGCCTCATCTTTTTTTTCTCCCCCCCTCCCCCTTTTTTTTGATGTTGTGTATTCTCCGTTTCTTTCTTTCTTTCTTTCTTTCTTGTTGTTTTTGTTTCTGTTTTTTATTATGTTTTTTTTTTTTCCGATTTCACGCCAAAGGGGAATTCTGATCTGTGAGCCGTCTTCTCACGGAACTGCAAATTATGACGCCGGCGTTTCTCCCTCTTGCGATGGCTGTTGAGGCTGTGAGGTCCCGGAGTTTGCCGTCGCACGAAGCTCGCCTTGACCATGTGCAAAAGCGCAACGATCGCCCCAGTTGCATTCACCATTTTTTTCCCAATAGATGCACATCTTCGTTTTACGTTTCCCTTGATCGATGCCACCACGACCACCGCGGCCACGACCACCGCGCCCGCCGCGGCCACCGCCGCCGCCGCCGGCACCAGCTACCATTACTGGGTTGTAGTAGCCTCCAAAGGAATAGCTGACCGTCTCCGGGAGCGTCCAGTGTGTGGTCTTTGTATTATGATCCATGTAATATGGTTGACCAGTCGCAGTGTAGGCCATCTGCCAGCCGGACGGAAGAACAGGTTGGTTGAGTGCAAAATATCCCTGCATGAGTTCGTGTCTTTTTTTTGTTTGTTTGTTTGAATGGTTCGGTTGTTGCTTTTAATTATTGTTATTATTATATTTTGGTTTTGGTTTTAATTATTAATGTTATTTATAATAATTACGTTTCCCCTCCCCCCCTCTCTCCCTCGTTTTTATTATTATTTTCTTTTCTTTTTAAAAAAAAAAAAAATTTATTTTTCCTCTTAAAATGAAATGAAATAACTGCCTGTATGTAGTTTAACGGGTAAAAGAATAAAAAGGACTCAAAAATCCTACTGAAATTCTTTTCTCCTGACCCGTTGTTTTCTTTCTTTCTTTCTTGTTGTTGTGTTTGTTTGTTTGTTTAAGTTTCTGCTTCTTCTCCCTCCCTCCCTCTTCTTTTTTTTTTTTTTTTTTTTTTTGGATTTTCTTCTCTTAAGTGTTAAAAAAAAAAAAAATGTGACCTGCAGGAACAACAGCAACAGCAACAACAAAAAAAAGAATAGTCAACAACAACAACAACAACAGTGGTGGTGATAATGGTGGTAGAGAAATAAGGCAGGAGGATATATGTATACATATATATATATGTGTGTGTGTGTGTGTGCGTGCGTATATTTTGGTGGAATATGACATTTCTATCCCTTCGTTTCCTTCTTTCTGCCATGTATCATCCTTACAGCATGCCACAAGCGGTCCTTGTGTTTGTCGTGGCAATTCCGTTGTTGTTGTTGTTGTTGTTGTTGTTGTTGTTGTTGTTGTTTTTTATTGTTGATTGTTTGCATCTTTCATGCGTTCAGCAAAACAACAACAAAGTAGGAAATCGAAAATATTATATTTCAGAGCAATCGGTCCCTCTCTGTCTGTGTATGTACGTGTACGTGTACTATGTTCCGTTTAGTATACATCAAAGGTATAAACTCCCAACGCGGGTCGTTGGTATCGCATGGCCTCCACAAAGACTTCCAGTGGATCACGTGAAAGGGCTGTGAGCGGCATAGATGGAGGTACTTCTCCCGGCCTTTTTCTTCTTCTCCCCCGCTGTAGTTTCCCTTGATCCCCCCTCTCCCGCAAAGCGTATGGCTTCACCGCACCCAAGGTGGCGTCAAAGAGTACCTTCCGGTGCAATAACTCCGTCGGTATCTCAGCATTTGACAGCGTCTTTGGTTTTGCATTCACCTCGTCCGCTACCCGCCTAGGGTCCACATCCGGGAGACGCACAACAAACTGTCGGGGGGGCAATTGCTGTGGAGCAAATACATCGTGCGGGAGACGTTTCTCCGCTTGCGCCTCCGCGTGACGCTGCGCCATTTCTTCGATAAATTTGAACGGACTCTCCTGCCTTCCATCATGATTGACTGACCCACCCCTAAGTCTGGAGGGTACATTGTAGCGTCGGATGGCGCCATTGGCGTAGGGACGCCAGCGCTTGCCCAATGCGACCTTGATTGCCTGATGCAGCTCCGACGATTGTGGCCTTCTCCCGCGTGCCTGGGCGGGGTCAGCCTGAGGCTGGGTGTCGGGGGACACATTCCACGCCATGAGCACCTCATCCTCACTGGTATTAAGAAAAGAGCCAGCACTACCGGACAGGTTGATACACGGCAAAGGTTGCTGCTGCTGTTTCTCTGTATTCGTACTCAATGATAAAGGATGATACAGAGGAGATGGTGTTCGTTTTCTGTCGGGGGAGTCAACCCGCATGAGGCTTGGCAGACATTGCCGCCTCGCAGACTCCGTCCAGCAGTTCAAGACAATCTCATTACATTGCCCACTGACATATAATTTGTTTCCAGGCCTTTCCAAGGGGTCAACTTCCGATTCCCGTCTTTCCATCACCGCCCTTCCACCCCGCCCCACCCTCTAGTGAGAAAAAAACAAAAAAATGTCAAGAAGTTAAGATGCATGCTGTAAGGGGGAAATGTTGCCACATCGTGTAAAATCCCAAAGAAAAAAAAAAAAAAAAAGTACACCGATAACCATTCCTGACATTATATAATATATATATATATATTAAATCGAAAATAGCAAGAGAAGCACACACACACACACACGCAAAAAAGAAAAAAAAAAGAAAAAAAAGAAAAGAAAAAACACATACACACACACATATACATATATATATGTATGTGTTTACATTACACATAATTTTTTTTTTCTTCTCCTCATGTACTCATCGCATACGTCCCCCATTTTAAAAAAATAAAATAAAAAGAAATAAAAAAAAAAAAAGGTGCGAGGAAAACAAATTAAAAACACAAACAAACAAAAAAAAAAAAAAAAAAGAAGAAGAAAAAAAAAAGGGGAAAAAAAAAAAAAGAAAACAAAAATGCAGAAAGGAAACATTAAAATATGGAAACGTTCATGGAATAGAAAAATATGTGAGAAAAAAAAAAGAAGAAGAAAAAAAAAAACGGCTTCACACGCAAAAACTAAAAAGGATGCCGTA